GTTAATTTTGCTAGGTTGGCACGTCTGCATCACTGTATGAATTTTGAATGTTTTATACATACTTATATTTTATATGATCATTTTTATACAATTAAACAACTATGCACTAAAAGACTGGAGGCAGTTTTTAGACTTGGTAGTTTTTTGTGTAATATTATGATGATACTTTTTTGCTCAGTTTTAAGTTATGCTTATTTTTTTAGTAATTAAAAATTTAATATTTTTAGTTAAAAATGGGACGTTATAAATTAGAAGAAGCAAGAACAGCTTTGTCTACATCGAGTAGCCGCTCTACAATTGTTCAAGCTTTCTTGAAGGAAAAAGCAAAAGGACGATTTACTGGTGTTTATGGAAGACTTGTAAGCCATTTTCCATTGAGAACAATTAATAATAATTTTTTCTGCATGTTTCAACTTTTAAATTAACTTTCATTATTTTTATTGTTTTTCTTTTTAACTGTTTTATAGTTAAATATTAAGTGTAACTCCACTTGCATAATCTTTATTTAAAATGTTAATCAGTAAATTTAAGATTTTCACCATTTCCTAAAATATTTAGAAGAATCTGATTTTTTCAGCATTGTTTTAAATACTTAATTTTAAGTTGTTTTTTTTTATCTTCTATCATTCTTACTTTTTAATGCTTCATCCTCTAACTTAAAAGGTATTTTCACTCACCATTTTAGGGAGATTTGGGAGCCATTGATGAAAAGTATGATATAGCCATATCAACAGCCTGTGGATCTTTAGACAATATTGTGACAGATACCATCGCAACTGCTCGAGAATGTGTTGAGCATTTAAGAAAACATAATTTAGGTTACACAACCTTTATAGCTTTAGATAAGGTAAGAGAAAACTTTTTTTTTTGCCTGAACTTTTTGCTCCCTAAAAAGACTAATAAATTTTTCTTATTAAGTAATCCTTCCACTTTTGTAAAAATAAGTTACTGAAACTGATTTCAAAATTTTTGTGTTTTTATTAGTGATGTAACGAATAGTGGTGTGGCCGAAAACCGAATATTCGGCCAAATTTTAGGCCGAATACTACTACTTTTTAAAAATTTCTCTTTTGATTGTAATTAAAATAATTTTCAAATTTTAAATTAAAAATGAAACAAATATTAACGAAATTGCTTTTTTAATCTTTGTATATTTAAAAAAAATTTAACAACTTGTTTTATTTTTTTTAATAATTTAAATATCTT